TCCCAGTCAAATCCAGGCCTTCATCTCTTTTCCAAATAAAGTGTTATTGAAACATAGCTACATTCATTTGTTTCATTCATCTTTGAGTGTTTCAGGCTACAGTGGCAATGTTAAGTGGCAGAAACTATACGACCCACAAATCCTAAAATTTTTACTACCTAGTTGTGGTAATCTGATAATGACTCCCAAAGTCAGTGCTATGTTCTAATTTGTGAATGTTACCTTATTTGGGAAGAGAGACTTTGCAGGTGTAATAAATAAGTCAAGGATCCTGAGGTGAGATCCTTCTCGTGTATCTGGGTGAGCTCTAAATGACAGCCAAAGTGTCCTTGTATGAGATAGGTAGAGGGAGATTAGACACACCCAGAGGAGAAAAGCTAACGTGAAGATAAAGGCAAAGATTGCTGTAATGTAGCCACAAGCCAAGGAATGTCAAGACATGTTGGCAGTCACCAGACTCTGGAAGAGGCAAGGAAGTGCTCTCCCCCACAGCCTGCCGGGGAGGATCCTGGCCCTTCAGAGCCCATGCTGGCACCTTGATATTGGACTTTTGGCTTCCAGAACTGTGAGAGAATAAATTTCTGTCTGTTAGAAGCCACCAAGTTCAGGGTAGTTTATTTAAAGTGGTCCCAGGACATTAATACTCTGGCCTTTTACAGAAAAAGTTTTCTGCAACAGGCTAAACCTGTACCAATCAATGCACATATCTACCGCCCAACACAAGGAAGAAAATCTTTACACACACTATAAAAGCCATCTGCATACCCTTCCCTGATAACATCTAAAGGTGATATTTACCAAGTCTGTCTACATCTTTTTACATATGTCAATAAGGTATGCATCCAAAGCAAAACGGTATCATTTAGAGTATGTTGCATTTTACATAAAAGGTATATTTTCATGTAACCTTCTAAAAGTTGCTTTTCTAGCTCACTACAATATTTTTAAGATTTATCCCTTTGATACACGAAGCTTTTAGTTTCTCTCAACGTTTTAGTATATCACAATTCCTTTATTTACTCTGCTATGGATGGACACTAAAGTATTTCTCATTCTCATTATGATGAAGAGTACTGCTATACTTTGAATGTGTCCCCCACAATTCATGTGTTGGAAATGGGGTCTTTGGAATGGCAATGTTGGCTGGTGGGTCACTGAGAGGTGATTAGGGCATTAAGAGGAATTAATGCCACTCTTGAGGGACTGGGTTAATTCTCACAGCAGTAAGTGAATGAGCTCTCGCTCTTGCAGGACTGGATTAGTTACTGAAAAGAGTGGGTTGCTATAAAGCAAGGCCACCCCTCACGTATTGTCTCTTTCACACACACTAGCTTGCTCTTCTGCTTTTCCACCACATTATGACACAGTATGAAAGCCCTCACCAGAAGCTGCCACCATGTTCTTGGACGTTCTAGCCTCCAGAACTACAAGCCAAAATAAACTTTTTTATCGCTACACATTATCCAGCCTCAGGTATTGTCACAGAAACAGAAAACAGAGGAAGACAAGTACTATTATGAACTTTCTTACATATATCTCTCTTATGCACAATTGTAAAGATAACTCCAGGATTTTTATTTAGAAATGAACTTTACGGGGAAGGTGTCTCTTCAGCTTTATGATGTCAACTGCCTTTGAAAGGAATTCAATAAATTACACTGTAATCAGTAGCGTTTCTGTGTTCCTGTTTCCCCAATCCTCACCAACCCTTGACATAAGCAGGTTTTTAAATATTTTTTCCATGTGTATGAAGTAAGCATTTGCTCTTTAGAGTAAAGCTTGCCGTAGTAGACAACAACAACGTTTTATAAATATTAACTCCCCAACTTCATACTCACAGTGAAAATAAGGAAGCAAGTTCATGATTTAAAAAAACACCAAAAATAATAACAAAAGAATTTTTAAAGACATAGTTTAAATTGTATCTGTTATGCAGCTGGAGTATTGGCAAAAAATCATTGGATTAACTGTGTGTGACTTTAGGTCAACCATTTTAACTCTTGTGCAAACTTTTTTTGTTCATTAAATGGGAGGCTACTCTCTCTGTGGCCCCTTCCTGCTCCAAAAGTCTCTGCCTGTAATAAAAAAGTAATAAAAATAAACAGAATTCCAAGCAAAGCTGGCAATTCTATCACTTTAATGCCTCTTTTCTTCAGAATATATGAACACTGGCACAAAAGAGTCATATATCCTTTGGGTGGTTTTCTGCTGTATCTGCCTACCTCTATAAAGCAGGAACTATTCCACACTTCCCCTCATTCCTTCAGCTCCAGCTATCCTGGCCTTCTTTCATTCCCTATTGCTCCAAGAGGAACATCCTTACCCTCCTTCAGGTCTTGGCTCAAGTGCCACCTGTTTAAGGAATCCTTCCCCAAGCTCCCCATCAAGACCAAATTCCCCTGTGATGGCTTCCTGTGCAGCACCCTTATCCTTGTAATACAGTCAAGTCCATCACTAGGCAATAAATCAGGTTTGCCATTCAATCATATAAAATGTGGGATCATGTTAGAGTGAAGTTTGTGGAAAAACATTACTTTTCAGTTTCTCTTTACTGTCACAGAAAGCAGAAAGATAAGCACAGTGAAGGGTATATGGAATACAATGGACTAAACTAAGAGTTCCAAACAACAATGAGATTGGAAAGGGAGTCAGGGACCATTCAGTTCCTTAAAAGGTTTAGGAAGGATTTTAGAGCTTATTCTCAATTTAATGAGAAATCATTTTATTTCTACAGTGTCTTATCATTTTTTTTATTCCCCAATCATAAAGTAGTTGGAAAAACTACTGAACTACTAAACCTCATTAAGGAGTTGAAGTTTCCTTTCAACTTCTTAATGATGTTTGCCCTAAGAAATTAGGAACTGGAAATTGAGAATGGAGAATGAACACCGGATCAAGCATCAAAGTCAACTATGTTATAACTGGTTCTACAATTCTGAGTTTGTGTGTTATGGGATAAGTTTTCTTGAGTTTTAGTCCATATGAACTCTAGTTTATGTGTCATTAGATTAATGTCCAACTTATTACCTGAAAATTAAACTTCAGGAAGGTAGGATGTGGTGTAATGCAGAGTAAATGTTCAGTAATCACTGGTTGAAAGGAAATGAAAAGAAAAAAAAGAACCATATCAATAGTTTATTTCTGGGAGAGAAAAAGAGAATATGACACTATAGAAATAATACACTTTATTATTAAATTTAGGATAAGCTTCAAAGTCCTTTATAAACCCTCTAAGAGACTGAATGATCCCTACCCTCTCTCCAATCTCATATTCCCATGCCCCTCCCTCATCATCCTCCAGCCAAGTAAATGTCTCTGAATTCTTTGGTCACCCCAGGCTTCTCTCCCTGCCAGGAATTTTCTTCTCCCACATCTTTACTTAAGGGTTTCCTTATCTTTCTCACCTTGTCTCACACATCACCTCCTCAGAGAAACTCTATCTGAAAAGCCTATTTAAGCCTAACCTACTGATACCTCCAAATCCAGTTACTACTTTCTGCTGCTTATTTACTTCATAGTCTTCATTCTAGGCTCAGAACGTGTTTCTTAATTTGCTTTGGGTTTACTCGTGTGTTAACTTCTTTATGTATGTAAGCTGCAATAACTGGTTCAGAGTACATACTGTATTAGTCTGTTTTCATGCTGCTAATAAAAACATACCTGACACTGGGTAATTTATAAAGAAAAAGAGGCTTAATGAATTCACAATTCCAAGTGGATGGGGAGGCCTTACAATCATGGTGGAAGGCGAAAGGCACGTCTTACATGGCAGCAGGCAAAGACAGAATGAGAGCCAAGTGAAAGGAGTTTCCCCTCATGAAACCAACAGATCTCATGAGACTTATTCACTACCATGAGGATAGTATGGGGGAAACTGCTCCCATGATTCAATTATCTCCCACTAGGTCCCTCCCACAACATGTGGGAATTACGGGAGCTACAATTCATGATGAGATTTGGACGGGGACACAGCCAAATCATATCACATACTTAATAAACATTAGGTGAATAAACAAAGATGATTCTACCCTGAAAGCATAGTTACCTGTGCAGGGGAGGGCACAGAGCCCATAAGGAGAACTCAGAGGAACTACAGTGTCCCTCTCTGATAAAAGGCTCAAACACTGACACATCTACCCAAAAGAAGGAGATGAGGCTGTCAGGTAGTATTCAATCTTCTCTTCCAGCCAGCAGGACAGCCAGCTGGAGTCATCAGCATCAATGCAAATGTGTTGTCTATAAGGTCTAAATTACATCAATTTATCATCAAACTAAAATTTAAAGCATTTTTCAAGAAAAATACACAAGCAAAACATACGAAAGTATTTTATTCCAAGCAGCTTACGTGATTTCTCATGAAATTCTGGGTCTTTTCAAGGTCATCAGAAAACAAAGCCAAAGGAGACTGGAGGCTTCTACAGATCCAGTCTCCTGATTTCATTGTACAATTAAATATAAGGCCTCATTTAGGAGGATCTTGTGAGGCCCCAGAGATTCCCTCAAAATTCATTCTGAAATTACAGACTTTAGTTCTAAAAACAACCATGATTAAGCATGACATCTACAGATGCCTGCTCTCCAATAAAGCTGTAATTTGGGAAAAATCAAAGCCATAAGGAACTAAATTATGTAAGGGAGGCTTTTCATTACTCTCTAATCTAACTCACTCTGAGTTAAGAGGCAAATGAAACTTGATTATTCGGCCAGTTACTTTTCAGCTTCTGTGTTTAATTTACTTTTTCTCAGAAGATTAAAAAAGTCACACGAACTATTATTAAATGTAGATTTGAACTTGAATTTGCTTTTTAAGATCATTTGTTAAGTGATTAGTATTTTTAAGAAGCCGAGGTCATTCATTTACTCTGATTTACCCTAGCTTAGTCAATAAGATGCCTTAATTAAAATAAATAATAAATAGCTGAAATCTGCTATTCATTTTTTTAAATAGCTATTCCAAATAGAAGTAGAAAGTAATCTTATTTTTTATTGACTGTTTACAGTTTTTTTTTTTTTATTTTTTATTTTCTGGTGCATACAATGAGCTGACAACCTCAACTAACCAAAGAACTAATTTAATTTTTAAAAAGAATCAATTTTGGCAACTTTAGAATCTTCAAATTAAAAAGTCCTCTGTACAAAAAGGAGCTCAAACAATAGTCTCTGCTAAGGTGTTGCTGCTTTTTTAATTAAGATATGAAAGATGGAAGGTTCATAAAAAGATAGCCAACCCCTAACATCTACTGCAATGTTCCTATACTTGTCAAGTAGACAAGATACAAGTTTTCTGTGCATAACGTGGCAGCATTTATACATTCTACAAAAATGTTTTAATGGCTTTACAAAGAAAAAGCAAGCTGGTTATAAGATTCTCTCATTTTAACTGTCTAGTACTTCCTAACATCTATGTTCATGCAGTGAAACCACCTGAGCTTTCAAATGAAGAGAAAAAGAGAGTAAGAAGTTTTTACAATTCCAATCCTGAGAGGCACTTGACTTTTTGAGATGGGATTTCTGAAAATATTCCTAAGTCCTGAAAGGCGGAAAGAATTGATATTCACACACCACACACACACACACACACACACACACACACACACACGTCTGGGATTGGTGACACACCTGCCAGACCCCTGCCCAGTATCATCAGCAATAGCAGGGTCCTTTACTAGCTGGTGCTTGGTTCCATCTTGTAATTCAATCATTAATGTTTTCATGGATCCTAATTCAGGCACAGCCCTCCAGTTTTCCTCAGTACAGACATGGATTCTTCATCATCATTGCCTGTTTGGCCAAGATAATAATCTCTCTTTTTAGTTCTTGCTCTTCCACATAAAAATTCCCTTTACATCTGAAGATACTAATACATACTTTCATGTCACTAATTCTACAATATTTGCAAAGCACTAACTCGCCCTCACTGATCTCCTGGCTTCCTAAAAATTAGGTGGTAACATTTGTTTATCTCTTTTACATCAAGCAATTGACTTGTGCTATAACCATAACTGCAACATTATTTCCATGATAACACATCAAGAACATCCCTGGCTTTTCAAAACTCTCATTTTTTTTAACTATAATGAACACTTATCAAATCCCTATTATGTGCTGAATATTGTTATGGGCATTGGGGATACAAAGATGAGTATGGTATTGTCCCTGTGTTCAAGGGGTTTGTTATCTAGTCAGGAAAATGGAGAATCTGATTGATGTTTTTAGTAGTGTATGAAAACTTTCATCATTTATTTACTCAGCAACTATTTGAGCACCCCATATGCATTAGTCACCATGTTAAGTGTCAGGTATACAATGGTGAAGAAATCAGTTCTGGTCTTTGTCCACATGTTCATGGAGTTTACAATCTAGTATAGGAAACAAACAATAAGCACTCAAGTAAGCATAATTTTAAAAGTCAAATCGATGTCAGAGCTATGACAGAAATAATGTGGATAAAGAAATACAATATACTGGAAGGGGCAGGGCTCAACAGTGAGACGGCTATAAAGGCTCCCCCAAGAAGGTGAGGTAGGAGCAGATCTGGAAACATAGAATGAGCTGGCCATGTACAAAGGTCCTGAGGCTGAAAGAAGGCTATAGCTCAGGATGGGAAAGTCTAAGGCCAGTGTGACTAAAGCTTAATAGAGAAAGCAAAGAGTGGTGCAAGATATATACTATATATAATGTAATATTATTAAATATTAACATTATAAATGTAATATTAACATTATATGTCATATTACATATACATATGTAATATAATATATAATATATGTAATACCTTTACATCTGAAGATACTAATACATACTTTCATGTCACTAATTCTACAATATTTGCAAAGCATCTACCCTGAAAGCATAGTTACCTGTGCAGGGGAGGGCACAGAGCCCATAAGGAGAACTCAGAGGAACTACAGTGTCCCTCTCTGATAAAAGGCT